TAATTATTTTTATAAATTTTAAGAAGGTAAGCCGATAGGCAATACCCTTAATTTATAAATTAGTTTATATATTTTCATGTTAAACTTTAATAAAAAGACTCTAATAACAGATTAATGCTTGTATTATGGCCATGGTTGACTCACATTCCAGGACAACATCACCGGTGAAAGCCTTTTTTAGTCGTAAATCCAATTGAGCTGTTGCCATTGCTGGTTTCAAGCTTCTCGGAAATACCTTCGCATCTTTGGTACGCTCTCTCTCGAACTCAAGTAGCTTCGTACTCGTACATTCCTCCTTTATTTTTATTTTATTTTTTTTGTTTTTATTTTGTTTAAGTTTCTGCTCAAATTTAGGGTTGATTGATGGATGGGTTTGTCGGATTTGGTTCATAATTGTGTTTTTTGGCTTTAGAACTTATGCTCATCGTATTTTTCTGTAATTCCCAGTTCTGGGTGTCTCTTGTTATTGTTTGAACGTTCGGAATAGTTATTTTTAGCTGGTAAAGTTTTAGTCTTTGTGAGTCAAAGTGCGCAAGCTCGAGTGAAAGAAGTAAGCTTTTGGTAGAGTGCTTGCCACATACTGTTCCAAATAGTTTTACCATTCTTTTTTCTCCTTTTTACCATGATTGTGCTTTCTCTATTGCTTTCTGCCCTTCTTAGAAAAGGCAGCGTCCTTTAGTAATGAGTTAAAAGGTTTCTGGTTTGTGGGTGAAATGGTGACCGTCTACATGACTAATCTAGTTGTCTCTTGGGCACTGGAGATTTAAAACCAAGTCTATAGAATTCTATGTTGGTGTTCTCTTTCTCTTTAAATTTTTATGGCCTCGGTTATTAGGAATGCCTTGTCATGGATGATTGAAGATTCAACCATGAGTACAATGTTATAATTTACAAAGCTGTTTTAGTTGTTTATCTTTTGATGGTATTTCCTACTGAAATGTATCTTTCGAACTTTTATCTTAGTCACGCATGGGTCATGGCTGTGGGAACATTATTTTGTTTCCCAGAAGAATCTTAGTCCTTATCTGTTAATCTCTTTGTGAAATGTGGGAATGGTATTTTTAATCTACAACTGATATAATATTCTGTGAGCTCAGCCACCTGGCATTTTTTTTCCCCTTTTTGTTGTAGGGGTCTTATTTTTTTCTATTTCTGAATAACTATGTAAATCATGTGTGCCTTTTTCTTTGTTTTGTAACCTTCCATAATTTTCTAAATTAAGCCAGCTGAAGCTTAAATATGTTAATATTTCTTTTTTTGGACAGCAGTCTTGTGACCCATTTTCTGATTTGAAGAAGTTCATATCTTGATATTTTGCAACACCTCATTAGCCTCATAATTATCACTCAGAAATTTCTTTGGCCTTTCTCTTTAAAACTATTGAGTCATCGTTATTCCTTTTGGTGAAATACTTTGAAAAAATTGCAAACCCCTTTGAGTCTTATCTCGTGGTATGAGTTCAATTGAGATTCATAATCTAAACACCTTGTGGCCTTTCATTTTGTTTCCTCCTTTCAATATGTATATACTTCCCATAAATTCTTCTGGCCTCTGTCCCTTCTTCACAGTTTCTTGGCAAGGTTATCTAAATAGATAACTAACATGCCGAGGCCAAAGTCAAACACATCAGATGCTGCTGAATCATTGGAATCTGAAAGACCAAGTGAGCGTGAACAGTCAGTTGAGTCTGATGAGAAGGTTGATTTTGATCAAGAGGATGATCCTGAGGAAATATTGGAAGAAGAAGAAGAAGAGGAAGAAGAAGAAGTTGAATATGAAGAAGTAGAGGTAGAAGATGAAGAGGAGGAAATAGAAGAGGTGGAAGAAGAGGTTGAAGAAGAAGAAGAGGAAGATATTGAAAATGCAAATGAGGCTGCTGGTGAGGTTGAAGATCAGGATGAGAAGAAAAAACATGCAGAGCTTCTTGCTCGTCCTCCTCATGGCTCTGAAGTGTACACTGGTGGCATTCCTCATGATGTTTCTGAGGAAGATTTGAGGAGATTTTGTGAGTCTGTTGGAGAAGTTACAGAGGTAAGCACTATTGTCATAAACTACCTCAACCTTTTATTCTTTATGGAAAGACTAATACTATCTTATTCTGCATGGTAGGTTCGAGTTATGAAAGGTAAAGATTCAAATGAGAACAAAGGCTTTGCATTTGTGACCTTTAGAAGTGTAGAATTGGCCTCTAAAGCTATTGATGAGCTAAATAATACCGAATTTAAGGTATATAGCTTTCACTCAAGAGTATTTTTTTTAGAGAGAGAGAGAGAAGAAAGAGAATCACTCTGTACCTTTCCCTTCTTCGTTTCTGACCATGATAATACTTTTAAATTTGCTTCTGTTATTGATGAATAACCTACTGTACTCCCTTGCTGTCAGGGTAAAAAAATTAAATGTTCTACATCCCAAGCAAAGCATCGGTTGTTTATTGGCAATCTTCCTAGAAGTTGGGAAGAGGAAGACTTGAGGAAGGTTGTATCAAAGATTGGACCTGGAGTTACTAGGGTGGAATTGGTGAAGGTTGGATGCTGTTTTACATTTACTTTTCTTTTAAATAGAGGAGAGTATTTGTTGGTTTTACAGTATTTCTAGTCTGCTTTATTCCATTTTAATGGCGTACATTTTAATTGTAATCTATTCACTGTCGTGGCCACCAGGATATGAAGAACTCAAGAAATAATAGGGGCTTCGCCTTTCTTGAGTACTATAATAATGCATGTGCTGAGTATTCAAGGCAGAAGATGATGAACCCTAAATTTAGACTGGGTGATAATGCTCCAACTGTTAGCTGGGCTGAACCTAAAAATTCTGATTCTTCTGCTGCTTCTCAGGTCTAGCTAAGTTGCTTTCTTTTTAATTTTTTTCTGATAACGTTTCTATATTATTGCATTTAGTTATTTGCCCCTTGTTTGCATCCATTGTTCCTTATTATATAAACGAAGTATTTCATTACATTTTGTGGGCTTGTTTTTCCTGACTCTGTGGTTATTGCATGACTGCAACTCATTGTGGCGTATGTTCTTTACCATGGTTTATTGTTGGGTATCATTGTAATTGGATTTTAGGTTTGCTCGATCTAATTTCAACCAGTCTTATGCAGGTGAAGGCAGTTTATGTCAAGAATTTACCAAAGAATGTAACACAAGATCAGCTAAAGAAGCTATTTGAACACCATGGGAAGATCACAAAAATTGTGTTGCCACCAGCAAAGGCTGGACAAGAGAAAAATAGAATTGGTTTTGTACATTTTGCTGAGAGATCTAGCACCATGAAGGCACTGAAAAACACTGAAAAATATGAATTGGATGGTAACTAACAAATTCCAATCCTAACATCTTCATCTGTTTTTATTAGTGAATTTAAATACTGATCAGTCTGCTGCTTTTCAGGCCAAGTTCTGGAATGTTCTCTTGCCAAGCCACAGGCAGATCAAAAATCTGTTGGAGGCTCAAATTCTCTGAAGCCTGGTTTGCTTCCAACTTATCCACCTCAAGTTGGCTACGGTTTGGTTGGAGCTGCCTATGGTGCTCTGAGTGGAGGATATGGTGTTGCAGGGATTGCACAGGTTAAACCAATGATCCCAACTAGTTTGGATCCAAGGCTTAGTTGGGTCAGGTTTACTCTTGCGGCTTTATGACTTCCTGATTTAAGCTGATGTTAAAACTATATTTATTTCAGCCTTTAATCTACGGAAGGGGACCAACTCCTGCTGGCATGGCGATGATGCCAATGCTTTTACCTGATGGACGGATTGGATATGTCCTGTGAGTCTAATAACATAAATATTTTTCTTCTATACAACTTTGCTGCCATTTTGCCTACCTAACTTTTCTCAATCAAGTATCAGCTGAGATGATATCAGGCTAGTTGATATTGTTTAATAGATCCTTTAATTCCAATATCTTCAATATTATGATTGTCTCCATTTTTTGAGGATGTTGATATCTAAAACCTATGGCTTGCAGTGTTTTCATTGGCTCTGATATGTTTGTATTTTGAGGATATTTATATCTTCAAGATTGATATTTAAAGTCTTCAATAGATCAGGCAATTTTTTGGTCCAAATAACATCAAAAGTGAAAAGCAAAATTTAGATAGATTCCCCTTTTATGATATTTATGAGTATTATAGCTGGACTTAGGTCAAGAGAATAGATCTTTTTCCCATTATTTTTGGTTTATGTGATTCCATAGTTTAAGATTTCATCACAAAATTTGCAATGACGATGTGAATAGATACTATGATGCACAAGAAGTAAAAATGTGGCAGACTAGCGCTGACTGATGATTTGATTATACATGGCAAATGATGGAAAACCCTTAATTTTCCCTTCATGTAGGCAACAGCCTGGAGCTCAGCCCCAAAACTCAACAGTAAATCATAGGAACAGTAGGGGTGGTGGTAGGAGAGGTGGAAGTTCAAGCAGGGGAAAGCAAAGCAATGATGGGCGCAGGTATCACCCATATTAATTGCATATGGTTTATTGTGATAATAGAGGTTACCTTGCTTGAAAGTCCCCTAAGGTAGTTTGTTTCTCAAAAATTCTGTTGGATTTATCTAATTTAACTTGTGTGATTGGGAATCCTTGTATATTATAAGGATTATTTTAGAAATCACTTGGTCTATTTGTTGCTATCAGTGCTTCTGCTTGTATCTCTCTTTTTTTGTGAAAAAAAAAAGTTCTTGTATATATGTCATAAAGAATTCATTTACATATATGTATACAATGCTAGACAAGCTAAGGCAAAAGATCCTAATCTAATTTCCCTATGAAAATGGTTGTTGCTAATAGGGGTGGGCAAAAACTGGTTTCGGTTAAAACCAAAACCGGTTTGAAAGTAACCAAAAATTTTTTTCTTCAATTTTGAGAACCGAAACCGAATTGAAATTTTCACAAACTGATTGGTTTGGTTATCAATAAAATTGGTTCGGTTTTGGTTTTTGGTAAATAAATATTAATCAATTATTTTTCTAATAATAGATTATATTTTATCACATATTTTATCATATTTTGTCATATTTATCTTATTTTTGGTTTTCAGGGGGCTTAATTTCAGTTTTTGATTTTTAAAAAGTTCAATGGAAACCGAATTTGAACCAAAATTTATTTGGTTAACATCAAACCAAAAAAATAAAAACCAAAAACTGTTGAAAGTGAATCAAATTCATTTTTTCTGTTTGGTTTTTAGGTAACCCGTTGGTTCGGTTTCAAATGCACAGCCCTAGTTGCTAACCAAGCAAAATAGGCTTTTTACCTGTATTATGTGGGACCAAATGTTTCTACATTGCCTAATGCCTACTGCCAACTGCCAACTCCAAAGGCAATAGCCATGGAATCTCAACAGTAAATCAATGCTTCCACAACATTGATTTC